AAAAAAAAAAAAAAGCACACACAAATGGCCAGGCACAGTGGTTCACTCTTGTAATCGCAGCACTTTGGAAAGCCAACACGGGTGGATCACCTGGGGTCAGGAGTTCGAGATCAGCCTGGCCAACATGGTAAAACCCCGTCTCTACTAAAAATACAAAAAATTAGCCAGTATGGTGGCAGGCACCTGCAATCCCAGCTACTCAGGAGGCTGAGGCAGGAGAATTGCTTGGACCCGGGAGGTGGAGGTTGCAGTGAGCTGAGATAACACCATTGTACTTCCAACCTGGGTAACAAGAGGAAACTCCATCTAAAAAAGAAAACAAAAGGGCCAGGCGCCATGGTTCACTCCTGTAATCCCAGCAATTTGGGAGGGTGAGGTGAGCAGATCACCTAAGGTCAGGAGTTCAAAACCAGCCTGGCCAACGTGGTGAAACCCCATCTCTTCTAAAAATACAAAAATTAACCAGGTGCAATGGCGGGCATCTATAATCCTAGCTTCTCAGGGGACTGAGGCAGGAGAATTGCTTGAACCCTAGAGGCAGAGGTTGCAGTGAGCCAAGATTACGCCATTGCACTCCAGCCTGGGCTACAGAGCAAGACTCCGTCTCAAAAACAAAAAAAGAAAAAAAAAAATACCCCACAAAGAAACATTATTATCAGCAACCCCTCCTTCAGTCACTTCCCAAGGGAGAACTCAACAGAATAAATTAGTTCTTTCTGATTTGTGCTTTATATAAACAGAATCAAACAATTTAGATGACTTTTGGTGTCATTAGTTTGCTCATTACAATATTGTTCCTGAAAGAAAAAAAAAAAAAATCCATAAAAAAAAAGACTATATTATTTTCATGATAGTGTATTTATACAAGGAAATACAACACTCGGCAGTGGTTACAATTGAAGTGGAGGCTGGATACAGTGGCTCACGCTTGTAATCCTAGCCCTTTGGGAAGCCGAGGCAGATGGATCACCTGAGGTCAGGAGTTCAAGACCAGCCTGGCCAAAATGGTGAAAACTGTCTCTACTAAAAATAGAAAAATTAGCCAGGCTTGGTGGCACATGCCTGTAATCCCAGCTACTCTGGAGGCTGAGGCATAAGAATCTCTTAAACCCGGGAGGTGGAGGCTGCAGTGAGCTGAGATTGCACCACTGCACTACTGCACTCCAGCCTAGGTGAAAGAACAAAACTCTGTCAAAAAAAAAGGCCAGGCATGGTGGCTTATGCCTGTAATCCCAGCATTTTGGGAGGCCAAGGTGGGTGGATCACCTGAGGTCAGGAGTTCAAGACCAGCTTGGCCAATATGGCAAAACCCTGTCTCTAACAAAAACACACAAATTAGCTGGGCCTGGTGACAGGCACCTGTAATCCCAGCTACTTGGGAGGTGGAGGTTGCGGTGAGCTGAGATTGAACCACTACACTCCAGCTGGGCAACAAGAGCGAAACTCCATCTCAAAAAAAGAAAAAAGATTGAAGTGGGAAAAAAAAGCTATTCCAATTTCGTACATATGGTATTAGCCCACATAGGTAAACATATTAAAGAGAATATATCTCCTTTTAAGAAGCATATATCATATATGTGCTGTTATGTACATTGAACACATTTTAGATTAGAATAATATAGGAAATTACAGTGGTCCCTTTTTTTTCTTTCACCATATAAGATGTCCAAGTTTATAACAGTGGTTGCTTTGATGAACAACTGAAGCAAAGATGGAGACTTCTTTCTAAATTTAGTATTTGTATCCTGTTTGTGTATTTTAATAAAATACATTACTTTCATTTAATGTATTTTAAGTAGATAAATGGGAAGTTGAAGAATCTTTCAAATACAATCTTCATGTTTCATATGAAAGCCTTTGTTGACAACCATGCAGTAAGACGTTGGCCCTTGAACTTAAGTTGCACTGTTGAAAAAATACATGAAAATTCTAGGAGAAATTGGCAAGCCACTAAAATTGTTCATTTTAGCTTAGAATCAGTCCATTTTTGCAGTCATCATTTTCAAGCCCTTAAAATAAAATCGGACTGGCAATTAGTATGCGTATCTATTACTCAGGAAATCCAAACAGTTTTAAAAGAAAGGAATGAAAAAACAAATAGAAAAGAATGTTTGGGAGCTTTAGCTGCCATTACTAAGGAAACCAACTCTAATTGCCCTCTCTGGTTTAAAACAAAAAGCCACAAAGTTTGATAAATAGTAAGAAAAAAAGGCTGAATGAAGGAATGAAAATATACTTTTAAATTATCTCCAGTACTAACAAAAGCATAAAAATATAATAACCTTAAAATTCTAGTTAGAAATTACTTTCCTTATTTCAATTACTCAATAAAAATTTATTGTGAAAAAAGTTTATGAGCCGGGCGTGGTGGCTGTCACCTGTAATCCTAGCACTTTGGGAGGCTGAGGTGGGTGGATCACCTGAGGTCAGGAGTTCAAG